CAAATAGTTTGAGAATAAGTGGCAATTAACTCTTTTAAATTGTTCATTTTCTTAAAACTTTTACAAAAACTGTAGTTTTGTACTGTTCTGATAATTATTCGCCAAGAAATACAAAGTCACTAGAAACTCATTTTGAATTACCATAATTTTCAAATCGAAAATGTGTAGTGAATAATTTAGTGGCATCCGCTTACAAGAAATATTTTTAAAAATTTTTATAAAATTTAATTTATTGCGATTTATTGCGAATAAGAATAATTTAAATCAATTTTACTTTAATAATTCCTCTTTGTTCTTTAAAAACTTCCTTTCTTTACTATAAAATATACTATCAGTTTAATTTTAAGAATGATAAGCTAATTAAGAACAAATAATTGAGTAGTAAGTAAATATTTAACAGATTATTTATAATATCCTAAATAAAATGATTTAATCAAAATCGAAAATATCTTAGAAAATACTATAATATGTTTATGGTTTCAGAGTTTTTTGTTTAGTTAAAAAAAAAATTATGGTTATTTTTAGTTAAAAATCACCGAAATAATTTATGCAAAATGTGAATGTTTTTGTTTTCTTTGATTTTGTTTGAACAAAAAATTTAATTGCTTCATTCATTTACTCGTTCTTTAACAATTTATGAATCTAAATATGTAATTTTAATTTAATTTTTCAATTATTGTAGTGTTCTAATGGTTATGGTTTCTTCATCTTATCTATTTTTAATATTATTTTCATCATTCTAATCCATTTCTGTGTTTACAATTTCTTAAAAAAAAGTCTCGTCTTTTATTGTTTTATGTGTTCATGTTTTTCTTTTCTTATAGTAACATTTTTTATTTATTTTTATTTTCACTAAAACTGTTTTTTTAATAGTTTAGTAATTAGAATTTGATTGCTTAGTGTAAATTTTTATTCCACGAAAAATTGTTGTTAAAAATTAATTCTATTAATAACTTTGTTTGGTTAAAATTCAAACAAGAATAAACTAAATTAATTTTTCCATAATAAATTATTTAATAGTTTAAAAGTTAATTATTAAAAATAAAATAAAAAATTTGCAAAATAAATCAAAAATATATTTTTTTTAATATTTCATAGCATTACTCGTAATTTGATTTAAGAAAAAATATTTTTTTATTTTATAAATTTTTCAACTACAGACTTAAGCCAAAATTAATTATAATATTTATTAGAAATTTTTAGAATGTATAAAGAACAATCTTGATCTCTTTAATATCTGATCAATTTTTAATGAAATTTTGTTAAAGTTGAAAGAAATAAATTTCTTACATTTTTTTGATTTTGGTTAAAAAAAATTAATAATTAAACGTACAGTATATTATTTTAAGCATATAATTAAGATTTATAAATGAATACAGTTTTTTTTATATAATATTAAGTAGCTTAAAATTAAAAAATAGTTTTAAAAATTTAAAATATTTTAATTAACAAATTAACTAATAAATTCGTGTTATTCAATGAGATTTTAATGTTTTTTTTTTTAATGTTTCTTTTTAATGATGTAATAATAATAAATTCAGACTCTATTTTTTTTTTTTTATAAAAGATTTTTTGTTTTTCTATTTTTATATTAAAAATTTTTGATGTTATTTTATTAAGAAGTTAATCGAAATTCAAAATACATTTAAATATTATAAAATATGAATGAAATAATATTTAAAGAACTAACTATTTTTAAGGTATGCAATTAAATTCAGAATTTTTTTCTTTTATGAATTTAAAATATAATATTCTTAAATTCACTTTTGGTATATATAGATAATTCTATTCATATACATACATATAATCTAAAAATTAATTTAATTTAATATCACAAATAATCCGATTTTAATTTAAAAACTAAAAAGATATGAGAAGCAATATTTTATACAAGACTAAAATTTTCTTGAAAATCCAGGAAAATGTTGAAAATATTATATATATATATGAATTCATAAATTAATTTATTATATACTACAGCTATGAATTCATATATTACATGCATTTTTTTTTTACAAAATTATTAAACATTTAAAATTATATTCTCTTTTTCGGATAAATATTTTTTGCGTTAATATTTATGTCAAGTTCAAAATTTAAAAATAAGATAGTAATCACAAAAAAACAATTTTAATACAAACTAAATTCAATAAAATAGTATTGTGTTTATCTTAGTTGAATACTTTAAACATTGTGAAATTAAATAAAAGTTCTTAATATCAGATTAAAAATTACTTTGTTTTTATTAAAACTTTCCTCTTGAATTGGTCTGCTATTATTGTATGCAATAATGTAAATGATTATGATTATTGTGTACTGCAATTAATTTGTATTTAATGTAAAAAACAAAACTGTATTGTATGCCTTAAAAAACAATATAAAAATAACTTAAAGAATTTTGTTAATTAATACTGTAACTTAAAAGAATTTTGTTTTTAAACTTCATATGAAATTAAGAGTTAATTAGTTTCTATGAATCCGAATATAATTATTGTTATGAATGCTTCTCCTTTTTGTCCTTTTTGTAATCGTTCCCGATAGCACCTTCATAATATAAGTTCAAAAACTTCTAATCCATTGGTAAAAATAAATAATATATTCATGTTGATTTGAAATGCCATCAAATTTTGAAACTTTTCCTTTTAGAGTAAAATTCACTGATTCATGTATGCCTTCACCATTGTAATTACACTGTTAGATTGTTCTTTTAATATACAATAATTTCTCTACAAGAAAATTTAAAATGTAATTATTGCTTCTGATACTTTTTTTTTACTCATATGTATAATTTTATTTTATTAAAATTTTAATTTTATTTAAAAAATTATTTTCAATAATTAATAATGAAAATAATTTTCATATATTATTTTCATACAATCAAAATTAACCAAGAAATAAAAAAAAACCAAAAAAGCTGCTTTGTACAGTAAAGAAAAATAAGAAAAAAAAAAGTAAAATAAAAGCAATAACCAAGAATTCAAATAAATTAAAAGAGAAAAAAATTTTGTTTTTTTAAAAATTTTTATTTAATTTTTGCATTTTTTTTTGTATTTTTTTATACTTAAATTTTATTTCTTTGAATTTTTGTATACATATATTATTTTTCTTTTATTTTTTATTTGGGTTCAACATTTATACATATATAAACAAAATTCTGTTATTAAATATCTTTTTTATGGTATTTTTTGTATTTTTTATTTTGCTTTTGTTTTTAGAGATGTGTTTGATTTTATATTTCAATATACTTTGATTTTTTCTTGTATGTATTTACACTAAACTTAAATTTACAAAAAAAAAAAAGTTAAATTATTAAATTCAATAAATTTGAATTCCATTAAAAAAATAATGTTTTTATTAAATTATTTTTAATTTCTTAATTGTTATAAATTTCTTAAAAATGTTTTTTTTTTTTTTATTCTTCATCTAATATTAATTCACAAATTTTTCGCTCTTAACGCGAAATACTAAAAAATAAAATAAAATGTAACTACAAAATAAAATAAAAAAATATACGTATATATTATATTATATACCACATATTTATATTAGTTTCAACTTTACATAAAATAAAATTAAAATAAATTATCAATATATAAAAAATTAAAATTTGTTTTTTTTTTTAATTAACATATTTATAAATTTTTAAACATTACAAAAATAATGTTTTTATATGGTATTGGGAACGGTTTTTATTCATTAAGAATTACAAAAGAAGAAAAAAAAATTAATTTAAAATTTTGTTTTATTAATTAATTATTAATTAATTTCATCTGAACTCTATTGAAAAATTATAAGAATAAACAAGCAAACAGTAATGAAGAAATTAATAATATAGTTCTATAGTTTGTTCGGAACCTTTGCCTAGTAAGTATTCATTTTAAAGTATTCAAAATCATACCGAAATAAAAAATAGAAATGGTAGAAATCAATTTGACATTAAACTTTCATTTTTAGCAAGAAATGAAACAAAAAAAAATAAAAAATATTATTTCTAATTAAGATTCTTGTTTTTCTTAAATAAAATCTAGTAGTGTGTCTATCAAGTGATGTAATTTTAAATATTTTACGGGAACTGATATACTGATAGCTGATGAAAATAATAAATGATATCATTTTTATTGCCTTTGATCTACAATGGCCTTAAAGAGGTGAAAATTAGCTTCGTGTTTTAGATTCGTGTTAAAAAACAAACCATTTTCATATTTTTATTTTAAAAATTAAAACTATCTTTTAAATATGTATGTGAAATTTTGAAATTTAAAGGTACTCAAGGGTCTTACAAGGCTTTTGTTATTCATATTAGCTGAAATTATATAATTTAATAGAATGTTGCGTATGTTATTATAACAAAATTATATATAAGTTGACTTTTATCAATAAAACTATGTATGAATAATATGAAAAATATGAATATTCAATACTGAAAAATGTGATGTTTCGGTATGGAAATAGAAAATCATCCATCTGGAAACAAATGTGAAGTTTAAAATTTATAATAACTAAATTTAAGTGATGTTTTGTTTTAAAATAATTCAAATTCCTATTACAACATTTTAAAATATTATATAATTTATAATACAAATTCTATGGTGAATATTATCACTTTGTTCCTAATTATTTCTACTCTTCTTTTTTTTACACATATTTTCAAAAAGTAAAATGCAAAGATATGAAATAAAATAAGATAAACCAATTAGATTAGATATAAGAAAAAATAAGTGAATATCAAATGATTTTTGAAATTATATTTTTTAAATGCAAATAAAATTAAATGAAACATATGGTAAATTAATATTAAGTTTAACTCTTAATCCAAAAAAAAAAGTCAATTTAATAAATAAAATACTTTAATAAAAATAAAAATAAATTCAATTTTTAAAATAATTTTCATTATTACATAATATTGTTTTTTAGAAATAAAATTTCAAAATTTATCAAAAACAATTTTTGTTTTTGTTAACAAAAAAAAAAAAAATAAAAGGAAATCGAAAGGCAGAAAACTTAATTTGAAATTAATTTATGACTTAAAGCTCAAAATGCTAATTTTAATAATTTTTTTTTTATATTAAAATATATAAAATGTGTATGTTAATGAATAATTAAGTTTATTATTAAATAAAATCTTTTTTCATTTTTTAAAACTACAAAAAAAAATATATTTAAAACTTTAAATTAGTGTTGTAAGTTTTTTAATAATAAAGAAAATAAAAATAAAAATAAACTGATATATTTAAGTTTCTATTTTTAAATATTTAAATTACCTAAAATATATTTATATTTATTTATTATATTTAATTTTTTTTTTCAATATGTATATATCATTTTTCTTATAATTTTGTTTAGTTTACATTATGTTATTATTTTTTTTTAATATATTTTATATACTTTATTTCTTTTTTCTTTTTTTTTTAATATTTTTTATTTAATAATAATAATTAAATTAAACATTTATATTTATATTTGTTTTTGTTTTCTTTTTGTATTTATTGTTACTCATGTATATAATATTTTGTTTTAATATATAATTTTTATTCTTTGTTTTGTATTTCTAAGTAAGATTGAATCAATAATTTATATACATACATTTAAATCAATTTATTTTTATATATGTATATATAAGGTTTATATATATATACATATATCATTATTTATTTGTTTTTTAGATATTTTGCATAAATATTGTTTTATAATTTTTATTTTCTTTTTAAATAAACTTTTTAATTTTTTGATTTTTGTTTTTTTTTTTTTTTTACCGATTACATAAAATTTGTTTTATTATTTTTAAGGATCCGGATATGAGAGTGGGCTTTGAATTTTTCTTAGAAAATCATTTTGTGCCTTCAAAATATTACGTATTGTTTCTAACCATTCACGATTCTGTTCTATTGATGGTGCATAACATATAAAGCTTGGTATATCGGTTCTATTTGGATCTGTTGATTTTAATAGGAAACGATTATTTGGCAATTCCTGAAGTGACATTTTGTTAACCTAAAATTGAACAAAAAAAAAAATTAATAAAAATCATATTATAGAAAAATAGAAAAAATTAAAATATTTACTTGTATAAGAGATCGATAATCGTATAATGGCGGTGTAAATTGTGTCTTTTTGCCTACAATTTCTGAAAATATAATACTTTGCTCGAATAGAAATACTTGAAGTTCACGTGGCTTTTGAACAAAACTGGCATTACGATCAAAATTTTGTGTATCTTCTGTACATAATAATGGACCATGTAACAATAATTTTCCTTGCGCTGCAATTCTACCCTCAAATTTTTGTAATCTTCTAACATCCATCATATCATTTATTGTTTTACATACAACCTAAATATAAAATAAAACATGATTTTTATTTTATAATTTATATTTAATTATTTTCTTTTCTCACCTTCATAACATTATATGCTTCACGCATTCCTGCAACATCTTCAACAAATCCAGCACGTTCGGTTTGTTTTGTAATTTCTTTCAATAAAAGTTCATATTTAGTTATTCTTTGTACTGGTTTAATAAGCATATCACTCAACTATAATTATTAAAATAAAAAACAAAAATTAATTAACATTTTGATAGTTTTTGTTGATGACAATCAAAAATACTATTCAACTTACATCTAAACGATGCTTTAATTTTTGTCTAACTTGATCAAAATATACTTGATTTTCTGTGACTACATGCTCTGATAAAGGTTTCTGCTGACAATAAATATGATACATCTGAAATTTTCTTTCATATTTTTTGACCATAGGTCCCAATTCTGATGGTGTTTTTAAGCAACCTTGAAGTGCTTTAAAGAAGAAGCTAAAAATTAATAAAAAAAAATTTAATGTCTTTCTTTAGCTTAAAAAAATAACAGTCTTACTCTCTATGCCATTCATAAATTTGTTCAATATTTATGAAAACAATTTTCTCTTTTTTAACCAAATCTTCTGGCAAAGGTATTTCACTATCTTTATTCCGAATTTCAGCTAAATACCTAAAATAAAAATTTTATGTGATTATGAAAATGACATTTTTTTTAAATTGTTGTTAAAAATAATTTAGAATTACATAATAAATAAATTTCTAATAAATTTTGTACATTTTTTTAATTTATTAAATATTTCCTAGAGTTAAACCGCACTCTTAAAAATCCACAAACACATAAAACATTTTTAGTAAATTTTAATTTTTTTTTAACCATTTATACAAAATAAATAAGTTATTTTAGTAAAACAAGGAAAATTTAATAATTTATAATTTTGCAAGGTTATACAAACGTTACGAATACATTAAAAGTAGAAAGTATTATAAACCGCAAAAAAAAAAGAAAATAAATCGAAAAAATAGCATTAAAAAAAATATTATTAAAAATAACTTGTTTACTTTAACAATTTGTCAAAAAATAAATTAAAATTCACAATATGATCCTAAGGGTGAACACAAACTTTTTCTACAATTTATAAAATTTATTTGAAAATTATTTAAATTTATTTTACCCATTGACAATTTCTGATAAATCTTGAATATAAAGCTCTTCAGTTGAGATGAGTTCTTGTAAAGCACAAAGTCTCTTCTTTGTAGCAGCTTCAACATCATTTGCTTCGGCATTATTCTAAAAGTAAAAGAATTGTTTTTCAGTAAATTTTGAATATTCATTTTTTAATATTTGTTATACCTCGTCATTGTTATCAGTATCATTGTTATCATTTAAATTTAATTTTGAATAGTGTGATTCCAAACTGTCACTGTTATCACTATTGCTTACATCTATTGCTGGTTTAAGGAACTTGGATTTAACTTCATGTTGTTCCTGAAATGGTAAGAAGAGAAAAAATTGTTTACATAAAATTTACTAATTAATTTATTTAATCAATTATTTCGTAATTACTAAGAATTAATTAAAATAATTTAATATTGATTTTTGCAATGAGATTTTTTAAAATTTTATAGAATTAGCAAAACGCATATTTCATTTTAAAAATAATTAATTGCACAAGGCTTTGAATTAAAATTTCCATATATAATCCTTCAGTATTCTCGTAATTTTTAAGGATTTTTTAAATTAATTAGCACGTAAAATTAGAAGCACTATCTTAAAATTCTGAGAAAGATTTTAATAAAAATATGCATGATTTGTAAATAATTAAATTTACATCGATTTATTATTTAAGAAACAAAAAAAAAAATCATAATTAAAACAAAAAATCTTATTGGCCTTTTTTATTTTAATCGGCTTAATAAATTTTAGCCTTTAATTAATAAAATCAAGAAACGTTCGTTAGAAAGAACTTAGATTTTTAGTTCTTCAGTCACGTTTATATTGATATTATCAAGAAGATTTTATATTTTAATTAATATAAGCAATAAAATAATATCAAAAGAATAAAAAATTTTTTTCAAGAATAAATTGAATTTCTAAGAAATCTTAAGGTAAAATAAATTAAAAATTCATTAAGTATTAGATAGTATACAAATATCAAAATATTGATTCGTGTGCATATTTATTAAAAGGATTTTTTAATTAATAAATTTATAAATAATTAAAGAGCTTAGAATCCTCATAATAAATTTATTAAATTATGTAACAAATATATTGAAATATAATATTGAACTTTTATTGTATAATATGGTTGTGTATTAGTTGTAATATGGTATTCATTTCACAAATAATTTGGTGAATCTCAAATTATGTTTCATTAGATTTTTGTCTGTATAACAGAATAATATTAAAGGATTTTTATATTTGTATATTAAATTGTATATCTTTGCTTATTAAATATTAGGATTTTATTGGAATGATTGGAACAACTATGGGCACTGTTATACTTTTGTACACAAAAAAACGCTTATATATAATTCGTGATGATAACTTATTATAAGTACATGTGGGCAGGGAATGTTACGTAATTTTCCCTTATTCTGACGCTTCTTTTAGGGAAAATTCGAATAACTTCGGCTTTGGATAAATTTTTTAATATTTGTTTACACAAGAAAAGCTGTGGTAGAAATGAGCCATCGCTTAAGAAATCTTGTACTGTTAAATGTAAATGTTGTTGCTTAGAAGTTTATACTAATTGACTGTACTGAGGCATTTGAACTTTTTCGGTATCGCACGATGCGCTGCAAGTTCTTAAACAAAACTAAAAAAGTTTAAAATTTTAATGCAGCATGAGCTACAGAACATGCTGCAAAACAATACTTTAAAATTGTATTCCACAAATTTGCAGTTCTTCAATAAAAAACATACGGCATGTAAGAATTATAATAATACGGAAAAAGTCCTTTGTGTGTCAATTTATTAAAAAATACACAAATTAAAATTTTAACAGATTTGATTTAAATTGGAGAAATTCACTTTTTAATTACTGACACCCAGGACCTCATATTTCAAGCACACCCACATACACCTAGTGAAAACATTATGCAATTTGAAAATAATCTTGTCAAATAATAATAATTGTGATTGGTTGTAAAATTTATATTGACACTAATTGTTGTTAATTATGCCAAAGAGAGAACGACAAAAAAAAATGACACTAAAAACTTTTCCGCACACATAAATTCTCTTATTAATCACAATGTACACACCGTTATGAATGTTTAAGCACACAATTATGTTTTTTTTTATTTAAAATAAAAATAAATTAATTAATAAAAAAAAAACAAATTCAACACTTTTATTTACTGTTTTAAATGCGTTTTATAATAAATTTTTCCATTTAATTAAATTTATAATCATGTTATAATTTAAATTTTAACATTTTTTATTTTCTTTACATGGAAAAGTCAAGGTTATTATTATTTCTTTTAACTTGTATGTATGATTAACATGCATGTGTGTATGTTTATAAATAAAAATATAAAAATGACAAAAAATTTATTTTGATAAAAATTAAAAAAAATTCTTAACAAAAGTTTATCTATATATGCATATTAAATATTAAATGTAACAGTGTATGTACAAAGTGTAGACATGTGGTAATATTGCGCATAAATAAACACTTAAAAAAATTTTCTTGTTTTCCTAGTGATATACTTAAGATAAACTTAGCCGATTTCGTCACATCAAGAACACTTACTTAACAAAATAATAAGCAGTGAAAAGCTTAAAGAAACACGTTTGTAATTTGTTGTTGCGTTTTGTTTCTTTTTTGTTATAAAAATTAAACTTTATACCATGTTGGTACACATGTAATGTTTAATATTTGTTATTTAAATAATGAAAACAAGAATGAATACGAGCATATACTGTTAAAAATTCAAATATTTAACATTTTGTGTCGTACATACTTACATACATAATGCATAGGTAAATATATACTAAAATGAAACACATATCATACTCTTGCAACAAAATTGTATTACATACCTCAAAACTTCAAATATTTATGCTATCAGGTGTACGAATTGTGTCAAAGAAAATTTAAAATATAAGTACATACATTGTTTGGAATCAACTGAATTCCTGGTTCTAGTTAATTTGAAAATACATAGTTTTTCACAGTTTTCTAAAAATCGACTTTTCTCAGTTACATACTTTTTTGTGTTAAAATTATAAAAGAACGAAGTTCTGTATTTCGCAATCTGGCACTCTAATAATTGTAAATTTCTGACAGGGAAAAATAACTCTCAAAATATATTGGTACTTATTTTTGGTGTAAAATGAAATTTTTTGATATTTTTGAAAAATGACCTTCTTAATGATGATAAATTTTTAAATAAAGCATTAAGCAACGTAAAAATCACATAATCATGTGCTGTTTGAAATTCTTGAAATATTTGAAGATCTTGCAGCATGTATATGTGTTATTTTTATAATTGTATATTAAGTAGAAAGTATTTTGTTACACATTTAATAATACATTCACTTTAAAAGTATTGTATTAAATTGTAAATTGATATTTAATACTTAAATAAAATAAAAATGAAAGTGTGTCCGTCCGTTTTTATATTTGCACATTCATATACATAATATGTATGTATGTATATGCGGACATAAATATGATTGATTTTAATTCACAATTACAGTCTTTTACAAATTACAGATTATATATGATCCATCTTCTTCCAAAAAATCTGGGGGTTGTTTTAAAAATTAAAAATTAAGTTCTAATGTTAATATTAATTTGCTTATATCGTAAGACTCTGCCCTTTATAATCTATACAATTAAATATTTCACTTTTTATAAAAGTATGTGTTCAGAACTAGATTTTGCCATCTAGAAAACCTAAGGAGCGCATAATTGAAACGTAGAATTGAAGCGCATAATTGAACTGCATTTTCTTTAGAATGATAATCCACAAGTTTTCATATTTTTTCTTTAAATAAGAGATAGAGTTATAGATTTATGGGTTTATGTATGTATACAATCTATCTGAAAATTAAATTGCAGTGCTATAACTGTATAGTCGATATAGTGTAAGATTTTACAATTACACTATGTATAAAACTTTTGAATAGCTTCTTCTGATCAAGAATAGCTTCATGTTTACCCTTTTTTTTTTTTAAATTAAAAAAAAATATTTTAAATATGAAAAATTGCAAATTACAAGCAAAAAATTCAATAGAACTCCGAACAATGTTCCTTAAATTTCCATACACAGTTTTCTATTAACTCAAAAAAAAAAAAATCCAGTTAAAATTTATAGAACATTGCCCTGAAATACTAGAATTTTAAGAATACAAATATTTTAAATAATTGTTGTATTAAAACAATAAAATTATTTTTCAACAATAAATTAAGTGTCATCCTATAAATTGTAATAGCTTTTATATTTCAATGTGACGGAGAATACGAGTATAAGTCAAAAATATGCATTTTTCAGGAGATGGAAAAAACTTGATAAAAATGATTTCGTAACACTTACGAATTTCATTCAAGAGGCGACGAATATTAATTTAACTAATTTTGTGATCAATATGTGCCATACGTATTGCACATTAAAGTGAAATATATTTGTACTGTGGTCCAACCATTATGATATTTTTATCAAATATGTATTTTGAGTTCCTTAGTTGCATACTTTTTCCATTTTGACAAAATTTTGACTTATACTCCTTTTCTCCGTTATCATAGATTTATTAATAATAAAATATTAAAATATTTATTTAAAAAATTTTCTCACTTGTGCTATATTATATTTATATTTGAATTTAAAAATGTTAACATTATCAACATTTTTACAACTTGTTTTTAAAATCTTTGAAAATTTCATTTTCCACCTATAATAGTAAATTATTCACCATGATCAGATTGCTCTATACGCGCGTGTGGTAAGTATTACTTAATAAATTACATTTGTATTTTTATTTTCCATTTAACTTATTTAAATTTTTTATAATTTATTAAAAAACTGGAAAAAATTTTTTTTTCTTAATTTTGATGTCATTGAAGCACAAAAAGCACATCACTCTATAAATCTAATTTTTTGACGTACTTAGGTATAATTAAAATTTCAAAACAAAGTTTAATTGAATTTTTAACTTTTTCCATTCATTTCTAATTGTAATTTGCACTCCAATTAATAAGAATCATGTATAAATTCATATAATTTCCTAATATTTAAATTATTAAAATAATTTTTCATTTAATTATAAAAAATTTAACGCGAAAAACGCAAAATTACAAGCGACCAGTTTTTTGTTTTTAAAAATATTCTAAAAATAGTGTGCGTTTTAATCAACTTCTCGTACTAAACTGAAATTAATGGAGAGTAAAAAAAACAAAGAAAAAGAAAAAGAGTTTCACAGTGTGTTTGAACATTGTCTCATCTCAGCTCAGGTAGGTATTGGGTAAGGTAAATAATGAA